GGATCTTTGGGGGGGGGGGGTACCAGAAATATATATATATATACTCTGCGTAAGATCCTTACTTACTAGCAACCCAGATGTTTGTCATCTAAAAATGTTTTTTCCTTGTTTTCACATGCCCTGTCCTGAAATTCAGCAGATGCCGTTCCCAAGTGCCTGAGCCAGTTTGAAGGCGAAGCCTGGGAGCCTTGGGAGCCTCAAGGGAGCCTCAGCGCAGGACACTTTGAGCTTTGCCACACCTTGCGCGCAAATTCGCGAGACTTTCTCCATGGGCGTGTGAGATCTGCGACGTCGCCGGCGTCTCCGGCCGAAATCCACCGTGCAGGAGCTGGGACCAGCCACGCCATTGGAGTTCGAACATTTACCACCTTCAACATGGCACTGTCAGTTGCCTCTTGATTGCAGAGACTTATACAAGCTGTCAGAAGTCCTCTCAAGCAGTCAAGCAGCTATCGGAGATGCAGAGACACGCCACACTTTGATGTGTTGCTGGACAAGCCGGAGCGGATCGTGAGTCTGGCCCTGTTGAACTTTTGATCACCAGGCTCTTGTGGCTTGTGGAGCACGTCGCGCGTGCCCGTGTCATTGCTGAGAGACACATAGCACGCACTTTGCACCTCCCCACTCCACTACATTCCACCATGCATCCGGAGGAGTCACAGTGCCTCAGGCTGCCGATCTTGTTTCTGCGTTGAACTTCTCTCCCTGAAGAAACTTGAAAGGAAACGATGCCCTAGCTGGCGAGGCGCCACTTTTGCACAGTATCATATAGCTCAGTGGATTGCAAGAGCCTGATGCCGATTGGACTGAAGCCGCTTGGACAGGTAGACTTGGAGGTATACCCTGACCCCAGGTTTTTGTCGATGAAGTTCCCCTCTGTCACTTCAGCATGTTGGACGCATGCTGTCTTGATGGTAATCTTCCTGCCCATGCTCAATGCCCTGCATCCTGTGTTGGAGCAGTCGATTTGATGAAGACCTGGCGTTTGATGTCAACCCAACCGCAGCTGCAACAACCAAAGTACTCTGCGCGAGCTTGCAGCGAAAGTGGCTGCCACCCGGGCTTCTTCCTCCTCTGATGTCTCCATCGATGCGCATGTATCGCAGTCCCGCGGCCTTCAAAGTACGTTGCACAGGTAGCAACTGGATGTTGCAAAGGATAGTTTCAATTAACACGCAATAACGGGCACCCCTACGCACTAGCAAGCCCTGATACCAACAGCTGCTCTTTGTGCACCAGCTCTGTCTCTGCCCGCCCCTCTGCACCTTGTAGCCCGATGGACACTCCTGATGCAAGCACCAGCAGCAATGTGTCTTCTGCAGATGCTGTGGTCTTGGCAAGTCAAAGACACAGCTTGCACTGCTTAATCCAGCCCTGTATCCGACATTGCCGTCCACTTGTTGCCACCGCTTGATGTTTTGGATGGGCCATCTTTCACTTGAGAAGAGGCAGCTTTAATGCAGTTGGGTCTGATCTTGCACTTATCGTTTGCACCTCAGAATCAGGATCATCTTGCCCGCATCTTGCAAGATGGCTCTGTGAAAACATCATGTATCGCGATGAATCTGACTTGCGTTTGCCACGGCTTCTGCAATGCATGCGGCTAAACCGCGTGTGGATATCGGGAATCACTAGCGGATGCCTTGTTGCACGTGAATGGCTTATGCGACCTCGAAGCAAAGCGCACGGACAAAGTCGCTGGAGTTTCTGTCCAGCCGAACGAGGAGTTCTAACACGAAGAACCCTTCCTGGCAGTCCCGCTTCCCAAACTTGAGCTCCAAGGCCCAAAAGCCGTGTCAACTGCTTCAGAGGCCTATGACCCTCAATAATTCTATGTCGAGATTGTGTCAGGGTTTGCTACGTCTTAGCACAACAATGCGCAGCTAGGGCGCACTCAGCTTTGCATCCGCTGGAGGAGCATTCGAAACTCTTCCTTTCAACTGTCACGAGGTGTGAAGCTTTGCCCTGTGTTCAATTGGCCGCACAGGAAAGGTACTGAAATGCAGACAAGGCATCACGACCGGCTTAATTTCACGGCACATCCACTGAATAGACCTGCGCCGGTCATATTCCCTCCAGCCTGCGCACGGGACGTGGTGTTGCCCGAAGGCCATATGCGACTCTGCTCACCAGACCAACATCAAAGACCAAATTAGGCGCAGCCAAACCTGCCAAAGATTGCCCACCTGCAAGAAGGCCTCGCTCGCCACAGGTCTCTGAGTAGGAATCTGAGTTGGTGTTGCCTCTCACATGGCTCACACTGAGGGAAGCCCGCAAAAATTCATCACGTTCCCCCTGAGCTCAGGCGCTTTTCTTGTTGGGCCCAGTCCTCTCTGTTTTGCTCCAGCACCCAGAAGGCCCTAGAGTGAAGGATCTCGGTTCGAGCAACATAACTCCTCGCTTTCAAAAGCTAATTCTTCATGATGCATGGGCAGACTTCTTCCGACCATTGTCCGACCATTGTCCACGGGCGACAATGACTGGAAGGAGTGAGTTGGAAGGGGGGAACAACTCGGTAATCGAATGCTTGAGATGTCCTTACCTCCGATCATGTCATTCATCCTCACCATCTAAATCTAAAAGATTCTAGAAGCATGAATCTCCTTGAAAAGGCTAAGGGCGAATACTAGGGGCCCACATTTGTGAACACTTGTCTAGGGGATTCTAGTGGGACAGATGATGAGTGCCTTTCCACACGCGGTTTGTGAAATGCTGTGCACGGGACTTGCAGCCGGGTCACCCCGGCAGGTGCCACCTTCAAAGCAAACCTTGTCTGCATTGCCCCTCTCCTGTCCTGGGGAGTGCTTCTAGGCTCTGTGAAACATCGAGGCAGTCGCTCCAACCGTCGCTCCTGTGACTTTCCGCGTGCCGGCAACATTGTCGTACTGCACGTGCGCATGCCTCAAGAAATTGCTCAATTCTGTGAAAGCCTGACACCCCTGACCAATGTTGTGGGGAACTACAAGCTGCATCTCGCAGCCCTCCTGGGCCCCTGGCACCTCAACTCGCCGTCGTCTTCGTCTTGTACTGGCGACGTCCGTGACATGTTCAGGGTTGCACGGCTTGCCAACAACACTATTACTTCATGAAAGCTAGCTCTTTATGATTGCCTTCGCTGGTTGGAAGTTGCTTGCTGGATGTAGAAACCATGCTGACTTAACGGGCAAGAGACTCACAGCCATCTCTGAAATGACCATCTATGCGATGGCCACTCGTGCAGTAGGCCATGTCCATCGAGTCCCACTTTCCAGCAGCCTGGTCAAAATGCAGCAATGTCAATTCGGAATCTCCTTTCTCATCTGCGCATCTGAGCTCATCTGAGGAACGCAGGTCTTGATATACTTCAAGAACTGGCCAGTTGGGCATGTCTTTGTATGATACGTCAAACGGCGTCTTCGATCTCCCATGAGTTTCAGGTAGTAGGCTGAGTCGTAGCCGCCGAAGGTGAGGCCAGCATGCAAGCCCGCAGGGGTCACGGCGACCTCAAGAGGTGTCTAGCAGTGCGGCTTTCGACAAGCGCAATCGTTAACCGCGGCCACACCAACTTAATTGGACAATTCTGAGCTTGATCTACCACCCCCTGGAGAAGGCTAACCTCTACTTGAGCTACAGTCAAAATTTCCCGATAGAATCAATGACCTTGGCTCCTGATTAGGGAACATATTAATCTTCGGGAGTGTACTTACCTACCACTTAGGGCCCTTTGTCCACTCTTAAGGGTCCCTCAGTAAGCCAATGTAAGCCAAATATTGACAGGAGCACATAATCTGAAATATCTACGCGTGCAATCCGTGCTGTCAGACAGGAAACAGTGCCGGAAGGGCAACTTGCCCATGACGTCCAGGTGTCTTTGTTCGCTTCCTTCCATGACCCTCAGAGCAAGATGCTTTGCAGAGTGCTGTGCAAAGTGCAACGAGCTGTCGAACCTCTGGGGGCGGGGCCTTGCTTTACATCGGCCCCGAGCTTCCCACCAGTGGCCTGGACACAAAGTCGCCGCTTAGCCATGAGGAATCACAACACACAAAAGAAAGGCTCCATGGCCTGGCAGCTGCTTCCGCTCACCTGCACACCGCCGGACGCTGTGGCAGCACCAAAAGTTGGAACAGCCTCCAGATGCGCTCAAAGTCCCCTGAAACTTGCATGGCTTTAGCCGTGCGGTTTGCGGCAGTTTGCAGTTGAATTGACTTGAAGCCTCTCCAACATTCCACTGTTCAAATACATGGGCCGAACTTGTCGGGATCACCCAAAAGGCAGGCTGTCGTAGTAAGAACAACCATGTCGTTGTACAATCTGGTACCATCATCCCATTCTCACTCATCTCGTGCTCAGTGCTGGAGCCGTAGCTGTGCCTCGCACTTAACCATGGTCTGGCCGGAGGGGCAACTCACACTCACCAGGCAGCGGTCCTGGCCAAATGCAGTGCTCTTCTTTCTGCTCTTAGCAGTAAAACAAAGCTGACATGCATGCTGGCGAATGACAAGCCACGCATCTCACAAATTCTTTGTATGACCTGACCGGAACTTCAAATCACCTGCACAAATCTTGATTCACGCCTGCGCGCACGCGGAGCTGCTGTAATGTCCAGGCCAGCCCCATCCATCAGAATAGTCCCCCACCACTCTGACCTTGAAACCTTAGAAGTTGGGTAGAGCTGCTGCACAGCTGCACAATGCCAGGGGAGAGCATATTTCAGCTGGGACTCTGATGGTATAGCGGATCGAGTCCACAATGGAAGGCACGTCTTCGTATTTCTCGTGGGAGCAGGCTCTCCTTCTCCTTCTACAGTTTCCGTTCACTTCGAATCCCAGCTTGAGATGATTGGACACCTCAGAGCTCTCAGAACTTCTCAAAACTCCTCAAACTCCTCAGCGCAGCTGTTCTCTTTGCAAGAAACCTGCGTCCGCTGGTCGAACCGGCAATCGTCGTCTGTGCCGCGCCAGCCATAAACTTAGCACAGCAGTGTCAAACTGGCATCTTTCTTACGAGCAACCAAAGTTCATGTGCATAGCAGCACCTGCAGCAGAGAATACAAGATGTTACGAGGACTCACTGACGCAAGGAAGCACAAGAAGAGCTCCAACAAAGGACACTGAAAGCTCCACGAAGCAAGAACTTTGCCGAGAAGCCGAAGCCGGACTTCCAGCCAACCCGCCCAAAGGACTCCCCGCTGTCCACGAAGCGCCGCCGGTAGCTCTCGTCCGTGTAGTGCCGCCGCCTATGCGCTCCACTTACCTCCCAGTCTCCACAACTCCCCGGGCCTGCGGCGGTGCGAAGGTGCGGTGACGTGGACCGGGAGGTCCGTGTTGTCAGTGAAGGTAATCCTTGGCATTGTGGGCAGGGCCTCGCCATGCGTGCCACGCATGCCATGCATCGCCACCCCTTTGCTGCGGATCTCAGCGTCTCTGCTCGCTGTGTTTGCTCCGAATCGCTCGCCAAGCAGAGATTGTTCCAGCTGCGGATCTCAACCGAGTGCCTGCAACCAGTAGCCACAACTGGCAGCACACAGAGCAGCACAGAGCAGCTCAGAGCAGCAGCGCAGCTGCTGCCCGGAGACAAAACCCGGAGACTGCCTTTGCAGCCACCATCGTTCTTGCTGCGACGCGCCAATGAAGTCCTTTCCAGCGGTGGAACCCGCTCATGTTTAAGGCGGCGTGCGAGTCTGCCAATTGCAATAAGCTGCTGGGAAGCTAAGGATCAGAGGTGCAGAGTGAATAGCTAGTGAATCCATGCAGTCTGCTGCGGGCAACGAGTGTCCATCAGGCTGTTGGACTTGCTTCCCGGTGTGGTCCGGAGACCTGCAAGGACAGCGTGAAGCCCTTGGTTGCCTCACCTGGCTACCTGGCTCATGGAACATCTTGTAGTTGGGTTCTGTCTAGTACTAGTCACATCGTCTAGTATTTGAAGATCTGGAGCGGATACATTCTGATATCGTATGAAGGGGAAGCTGGAAAGACTCTGCAATCTGAGCAGAAACAAGCATACTTCCAAATGTGAAAAAGGCCAGGGCACAAGCCACGCACTGCAGAGCGGAGAGGCCCGGCCCACCCTTCGGATCCACCCACTCTCCGTCCTGGCAGAGCGGAAGTGCTGAGCTGCTGAGGTCCAGAACATGGAATGCAACAACCCTGCCCAGCACCCCTCCCGAACTGTCCTGGCAAATGATGTGTTGGGATGGCAGGACCTTTGCATGGGCATTCTGGCCTTTGCGAGCATCTCTCTAGATAAAAATTGCTCTCTGCTTGCCAAGGATCGTCATTTCCATATCGATTCAATCCTTGGCCATGACAAAGCCACAACTTAAAGATCCAGAATGTTTAAGTCTTCCCTGTCAGGCTGCCGGCATATCGATCGCCACAACCTGGCCCGGGAAGACATGAGGTTCGCTCATGTTCGCTCGGGTGCTCAAAGAGTGCACAGCTCTGCGCCTACGGATATCATGGAGCCAGAGTTGAATAGTGATGGCAAGGGCCGCTTCATTCTTGAAAGCTGCCTTGCTTAAAGGACAGAGCGGCCTCACACTGCACAGACTGAACAACTGTACAGCAAGCAAAAGAAGCACACACATATTTGTTGTAGCTATGATTCTTTCATGTTGCTGTTGCTATTTTGCACGTTTATTGTAGCCACTGTTGGTACCTGGTACCTTTTGAGCATCAACTGACTGCTCTATGCGGATGGCCGGACGGTGCAACGAAAGCTCACAGATGTCATGCTCAGATTAGTAGAATGGCCGCGCTCAGTGCTTCCTGGTCACTGAGAGAATGAGATTTCTGAATAAATGCAATGGCCGCATTCGGAGATGCCGTGACCTCCATGGATCAAAGCTGCGTCGCACTGGGAGATCAGGTCCTTCATGTCGATTCAACACAGCAGATTAGACCGTCTCGTTTGGCTAAGTCAGCTGATTCATGGCATGGCAATCATTTGAAGCCCTCCTCGAAGAGGCATTGGTCGGAAATGTCAGCACCAGCAGCAAGCCACTTTTCGCGCTTCATGGGTTTGCACCTGATCCCGGGTCCCATCTCGTGCTAAGCGCCCAGCAAAAAAGAACCTCACAGCCACGGAGCAGCGGAGCAGCGGAGCATGCCGCTGGGATTTCACCAAGGCACGACTCGGGATCTGCAATGAGACATGCCCTCGTCTTGATAACACCGAACAGCTCGCCATGGCTGTTCACCTCCTGGACCAGACTTCTGCAGGAGCTGTAGAGGCGACAGACAGTGACCTGAGGCCAAGCCACGAAGTCTAAAATGAAATGAAGCTCCAATCTTCTCAAATTGTCACAGCTCAGTGGCGTCAGTGTAAGAGCCGGTGAAGTAGAAGGCACATGCTTCCGAAGCTGTGTTGTGATCTCCACTTCGGCAAGCTGTCTCGCATCCTGCCAGCTGAAACTCTCCATGTCATCTCTTGAGCCAGAGTGCAGAATGCATGCAGCACCAGAGAATCAGCGGTCCTGTCGCGCCAACCCCAACCTACAGGTGCTCATCTAAACAAGGTGCAGGTTAAACAGATTGCTGCAAAACTATGCAACAATTGTCCCTACGTGAGCAACCGTCGAAACTTATTGTACAATGTAATGAATGCCATGGATGTTTGGGGGTTCCTATTGGTCCTAGTTCCTTTTGCGCAACTGCGCTTCGAACCCGAGATAGCGCTGCACAAGCTAGGCGCACTTGCACTGGCGTAGCTTCTGCAACTTTCAACTCGGGGTATCGCAGCGGGGGGATTCCTATCAGTGTTGGGTTTTGTGCAAGTGTTTTGATCAATACGGCATTCCGTTCTGCAGTCCCCTCTACCCAAAGTTTGAGGATTGCAGAATTGGCATCTGCAGGCTCCGGCGCTGCCACCTCGACGCTACTAGTTACCAACTTCCTACAGCACCATAAAAAGCGTCCCAAGAAGGCTTTTCGATAGATCAAGGCCTTTCCCGTTATTGTGAGTTCAGCACCATTCAAGAACCGGCAGCTGCTGCCTGTGGCAAAACGATGCGGTGGAATTACTGGCAATACCGGATAAGAAGGCTGTCACGTGATAAACCGGTGATTGTTAACACCGGTGCAAAGGCATGGACTGCTAAGGCTTGGAAGGCAGCTTGCTGCCAGGCTACCAATGACAGCATCAGGTATTCTGGCTCGCAGGAAAAGCTTCCGGAGACCTTTGCAGCGGTGAGCCTACTCCGAGCAAAGCTGACTGTGAGCAGATTCAGATCTCCAGGTCCCGCTTTCTTGGAACCATAGCAGGGTATACCAAGTAGCGACATCAAACAGGAAACGGTCATAGATGCCTTCTCAGCCAAAGAACCAACAATGTGCTGGGAGGCACAAAGTCATTGTCACTTCCAGGTGGCATCCTGAACAGTCATTCGCATGTAGAACAGCGCACAGCGTGTGTGCAGACTCCTTGACTCCTGGCAAACACAAATTACAGCCCCGTTGCCCCGTACAGCTCTGGTATTGGCGTGAGAATGCTTTCGACGCCAACGCGCGGAAACGGGCTGAGCAGGCCGGGCAGCGGATAAAGCGGTTTGGTTCCAAGATTCTTCCTCCTTGCCGCCTTTAAGGATCGAAAGTCCAACTAATGACTCCAAGGCTCATGGAAAAAGTTGCCTCCGTGACTGGTGGATTTGCTCCGAACGGCCCACTGAAGCATTCGCCTTAGGTGGCAAATGCCAGGAAACCTACGGGATGCAGGTAATTATGCAGCAAAAACGAGAGCCCAAAATGCAACAGGATGGCATGGGTTGAGCGAGTAGAAATGTCCAACACCGCTCGGGGCATCGGGATCCTGGGCTTCAAATTGGCACGGCACGGAGGCTCGGAGCACGGAGCTGGGCCGGATTCTAAGCACAGCACGTCGAACACGAAAGCTTCCTCTCCAGCTCACGAGCCGGGCTTGCTACAATCCAGAGTATGTAAATTGTGGTGTTGAGGAAACGGGAAAGCATCTTGGGAGGGGCAGGGACGAAAGCAAAGTTGAAAGCCAGCGATTACTTGAAGAACTGCCACCAGCATCCAGCACTCAAAAATGCACTGCAAAGCAGACTGGCTCCTCGCTGGTCAGTTCATCCTTCTGCTCTCCCTTCTTCTGCCTTGCACGCCTTTCTTCCAACGGATTGGTACACCTGGGACATGGGTACAAAATTACATCACAGTTCTCCTTGATGCGTGCTTGTTTCAATGGCTGTATGTATTTCTATGCAGGCACGTCCGCGCGACTGGCACCATATGCACTTCGTCAGCTGGCGATGCCTTACAGCACTTAAGTTGCCACCGCGGCTGACCCTGTTCTCCACAAGCATGGGTCCCCTAGCCTGAGCACGCTTCTCCACATAGCTCGCATCAAGGATTGTAAGGTGAAAGTCAGACTTCACTTCGTCCAGCACTGCATCTCCGATGCTCCAGGACTTGCTTGCGGTTTGGCCTTGTGTGGCATGTGCACAGTCGAAGCTGGGCGTGCGCTTTGCAGGGACTCTCGCTCTCTTCACCTACAACAGCCCTCCCTCGCTCTTCATCCAGTGGGCATTTCTGTGCGGAAGGCAGCGCAGCAACGCCCAGTGTTGCTGATGAGTTACCGGGCAAACCTCCTCACAACAAACCAGGCTTAATTGGCTGTGAATCAAAACCCCGTTTTGTCGCGGCCCCCCCCCCACCCCTGTTACATACCCCTTTTGTCGCGGCCTGTTGTTACATATCTTTGTCGCGAATGATTGGTCTAGGTATGCCCTACAAAACAACCTTGTCGCAAAGGTGCTTGTCGCAAGCCAGGAGATTCTGTTACAAACCTATGTCGCGGAATGGCCGCCGAAGCCTGTTACAAACCCAATGTTTTGGATTCACAGCCAATTAAGCTTGAGAGATGAGCGTTGAACGTGATCACTTCCTTTGGGGGTGAGTCAAAGTGCGTGAATGTGGGCCTATGCATGTCTAATTGCAGCCGAGCTGGCCCAAAGAGTGGAAGCAGGCGAGCACGTCTCCACGCAGCTCCACGTATTCGCTCTGAAAGAAGTCCAGAGAACTTGCTCGGCGTATCACCCAGCTGGTGCCTGCCCGTGTAACTGCTGCTCCACTGCTTCAATTTCATCATGGTTCAAGCGGAAGTCGCGGCATGCACATGCAGATTGAAGAAGCGACTGAATCATTAAAACTCGGCTACGCCTGCACCCACAGCCTGATTTCTGTTACCTGAAAATTGCATGCCCAAATCCTGCGAAACCATGCCTGAAAAATCGAAAAGCGTGAGGAATCTCCACCAGATTCCATCCCCAAAGATCCAGAAGCTCACCCTTCTGAATGACAACTCTTTAAGTTTGATGCAGCTACTTGAGTCCGAGCGAGAATGCCGGTGCAACAGGCAACATGCTGTGCAGAATTGACCCTATGTGCAGGGCAGCTCATTGTCGCGGCCTGTCGGACAACCCTGGTGCGTCTCTCTCGAAGGTTGCCAGGGGGACAGGTACAAGGTGGCCTCTTGCACCTCACCTGTTCCACGCAGTGAGAGGACTCAAAAAATTGAAGATAAACCGTAGAACAGAATCAAAAACATTTCGATGCAAAGCATGAACATGATAAGAAGAGACGGCTAAACAAAGAGCTTTGGATCTGAAGCTCTCATGCTCCAGCAAAGGCCAAGGCATCAAAAAATCACCAGAAGATTCTATCCTCCAAGTTCCATATCGATACAAAGTTGCCCACTATCACTTGCTATCACCCCTTCAGCCCGCACATGCGATGCCTGGCTTCGCGTAGTAGGGGAGCAGGCCATCTTTCCTTGGCTAAATGCGTCATGAGCTTTGAGTGGTTTTGGCTCTGAAGCCTCTTGAGCGCTTCCAGGTGGCTCACCGGTGGCTGGGCAGTAAACGCCATCCAAGAAGGCAGCCCCACCGCCCTTCTTCGACACAGCGAGACAGTTGCTCAGGGCGTCACCTTGGATCTTATAGCCCGCTCCCTTTTCCACTGATACTTGGGTTTGGCTGGGAATAACAGAGCTCAAGCAACCAAGAAAAAAAGTCTACACACATGGTGCCAGCCCCATGGCACCATGCCAGGTCACAATCTTTGATCCGAACCCATGCGCTGGAAAACTCTGCGACGCCACAACCGCGGCAGTCAAGTCCCCAATTGGATGCAGAGGTTACGCAGGCGCCATCCTGGAAAGCTTTGCAAGTTCAATGCAGAAACCGAAGCGCGGAAGCTGCAAAGCTGCTGCTACGCTGCAGCTTCGCAGCCTCTCCTGAGTGCACCAGCCCCCGCACTTCTTGCCCCCGTCACAAAAGCCTCGGCAGGATCGCGCACAGAAAAATGCTCCCCACTTTTAAGGCATGTTGCTGTGGCCATGCTTGGGTTGCCGGGATGAGCATGTCCAAAAGTGGACTGAGCTGGTTTGCTATTGCTTTCTTGCTCCGCTGCATGCTTCAATCTGTCGTTTTGTGCCTGTGCTGTGCAAGAGGGTGAACATGGGGCCTAAGGCAAAACTGAAGCGAAAGATTCTGCTCCAACACCCCCTTTCCATCGAGTAGAGGCAGGACCGTATGACTGCAGAACCTAGGCAGCACATAAAACCAACATAAGGTCTCAAAAGACTCCCTGACCGGTGGGTCCCGGTGAGGACATTGGTGTGCTAGCCGCGTCACAGGCTGCCGGGCAGGAGTCCGAAGCCACGGAGCGCACGGAGAAGCACGAAGATGCCTGCAAGCAGAGGCAGATTCTGGCACGGCTGATCTTTGCTAAACGTGCAGGCCAGGCCTCCTCCTGGTACGCAGAGCAGCCTGCCGATGCCCGGCCTGAGTCAGGGGACCTTTGAGCTTTTAACAGATTCAAAGGAACTCAGCGCCGGGCAACGACTGCGACAAGTTCCGCTTCCTGGAGGTCTTTTGGTCCATGCCGGCACTTCAAAGTGCAACTTGTGTGTGCTTCGTGTGCACTGTGGGCCTTCCAGTTGCCAGAGTCGCGTCCAGCTGTTCTCAGCACTTGAGACGTGATGCCAGCAAGTGTCATCCCGGATGACCACCTGAGAGCAGAGAGAGTGCTCAGATCGCGATGGCCGCTCCAAGGTTGCAAACAGGTACCGCAGAATCGCTAACTGCGCTGAATTTGGCTCTGAGAGACACTGATGCTGTGCTTGAGAAACTTGGGCAATCCCGGAGGCTGAAAGGCCAACTCCCCGAAGATCGTGCACCTTGGCCAAACGTCTAAGTGTCACGGACAACTTTAATCCACAAAGAGTGTCGGCACAAATTGCTCAGAGCTGCTGGAGTTGAACTTTGCAGCGAGAAGAAGCACTGCAACTACCCAGGATGCCCATGTCAGGGATGCCTCGCGTGCACTGTGCTCCAACACCGATGATCCGCATGGGGCAGAGCCACCGGGAACATCGCAGGCTGGCGCAAAAGACAGCCCGCCAGTGCCACGGAAACAGTCATCACTCCGGCATCAGTACTAAGCGTGCTTCTCCTAATGAGCATAATGGAGAGAAAACGACAATCAAAAGCAGAACCGTGGCAATAAGGTCAGTAGTTAAGTCTCAAAAGCTCCGGCGGTTCAGTTTTCCCCGGACCTCGTCAAGCTTCAGCAGGTGTACTTGTTCCTGTTCCTGCTCGAGAAACCTTGGCCTTTTGCTTTCTATCCCTCGGTGATTCCTTCTTGCAATTCTCGTTGAGGGTTCTTTCCCTTTGCGACAGGAGAAAGTTTGATGCTTGCCCAACCAATGACTCCACAAAAGCCCGACGTCATTTTTCTGCAAGACACTGCAGGTCCAACGTTCGTGACTTGGGGAATGCCTAACAACCACCTTGAGGATTCTCTTCTGTTCAATGTTCCGGGACCAAGGGCTTGATAATGCTCAAGGATACTCCATCGGCCTGTGAACTCACCGCTCAGCATCCCCAGGCGGAAAGCAACGTGGCCACGCACCAGGACGTCACCTGCCAGCAAAAAACGTAGACTGAACCAAGCAGACAGCCGCAGGCAAAGCACCACTTCCACGTGCTGTCTTTGACTGTCATGGAATGTTGTCGACACGTAGCCCTGACGCACCTGTCGTCATGTCGAAAGAAACGTGTTCGTCACCATCGCAGGCTGCATAGAACACCACTGGCGGAGTGAGATGGTCCGAGCCTCAGATCTCACAACATGGACTATTAGCAGCTAAGGCTAAGGCCTCGCATCAAATATCTTGGGCTCTCAGCCGAGGCACCATCTGCAGATGCTAAAGCCACCGGAGGCACGGCTCGTCCCGCTACAAGCTCCAAGACAGATCCCACGGACTCCTTAACTTCGGAGCCACTCGCGTTTCACCTGCGCTCCTGAACCTTTCTGAGATTGCAAATTAGCCACCTTTCTGTCCATAACCATTTGTTGCAGGTCCATCGCCGTCCACTGCTTGGGGACCACGACAGGCAAGGTCAGCATCAGGTCTGCCGTCCCGTTGTACACCGAGACACTGCAAACAGAAGCATCGGGTACCTGGGCAAGAGGAGAGAAGCGACTCCAAGGTGTTTGTCTGGTCTTGGCCGGGATGCTCCAATGCTTGATGATGTAAGAGCTCCTGTGTGCTGATCGATCGTCAGCCACGGGGTGTGTGGTGTACATGCCACACGCCAATTGCTGTAGGTACCGTTGGATGTGCGCGGTAGGTAGGGGCTCTCCGTTGGAAAAGAAAGGATTTTCCCCGCATAGCTGAAGTGCTGCAAACTAATCTTCACCTTCGCTTGCAGATGTGACAGCTACAAAATTATGCAGACAGAAGAGCGAACGTTGGCAGCGACAACTGGACAGAAGAGTGAAACTTGGCAAGCAAGCAGCAACTTAGCAACCAGAACCTGCTGCTGAACCTTGCAGCGAGTGACACTGCTGTTTTCAATCAAGCCTTTCGACTCATCCTGCACCGCTTGGATGACACAGTCCACCTCCATGGGTTCCTCTGCAGTGGGAGTGCCGGAGATTTCGCCCGTCTCGGCATTGAAGCGCAAACCGATCGAGTGTAAATCGCATCCGGAGCCTTCCAGCACACCAGCCACCCGGTAGCTGGAAGCCGTGCGCGGATGGGGCTGGTCCTGCAACAGGAACAGCCGGTGCAGCTGCTTAGCACGCTTGGCATAGCACGCAGCTCGCGCAACTTGCAAACCGTCCTTCATCGGCGCGCCCAGAACAAAGGATTGGAGGTTTGCAGAGTATGTGAAGGGAGTGCTGGTTTGTAGACCGCCGCCGCAAGCGCAGCAAGCCTCCACGGCGCTAAGTCCTGAACTTCCACCACAAGTCAGGCCAAATGCGATATCAGTTTCTTACGTAAAGCATGAACCTGTTCACATATTTCAGAACGACGTGGCCGTTGTATTTGTACTCTGCCATGGCGACACGGGCGTCAATCTTGGCGCTGAAATCAGACAGACTTTTGCTGCCATCCTGGCAGATCCCGTGGGCCTCAGAAGCTGGAACCTGATCTCCCTACATGCTGCATGCTCCAATCCAGCTAGCGGGCCACGTAGTCTGCGCAAGAGTGGCCAGAAGGATCCATGAAACCGGGGATGTCCCGACATGCAATGCACCCATGAGGACCTTTCCGAAATCCTCAGCTGAGATGAAACCGTTTCACATTCCGAACGAGGCTTCACAGACCTCTGCAAAAACAGAACTGGCAAGATGGCGAGTTGTGACAAGGATCCACCAGCACAGTGGATGCAATTGGATCCAGCAACTTGCGCACAGCCCGAGCAGGCAGTCCTGACACGATCGGAACTTAGCTTGGAGGACGGTTTGTGCGGAGGCCATTTGGGCCGCCAAATGGAAACACGTCCAAAGATTGTCCAACACTTCCAAACACCACGAGGCAACAAACTAATCCGAGGATCCGTTCTGCTTCACAGCAGCTGAGAATGGCGTCGCCATTGCTGGCAAATTTCACCAAAGTAGTTTGCTGAATAGAACCTAGGTTCGAAAGGCTAACGTGTAGTTGCCAAAGAAGTCCATCGACTGTTCGAGCCAGTGACAAGAATAACAACATATAACAACCACAAGAAGAATAAGGAAAGCTGCGAAGGACAGGTGGTCCGTCGAATTGAATGATTGCCGGCCAAGTTGCACGCCGTGGCTTGCTTTCCAAGTGAATTTGAGAGAAGACTGACGCTGGCATTGCCGCTGCCGTGGTCCTTCACAACGACGGCGCGCCAAAACCACAGCAGTGAAGGAAGGAGCAAGCTGAGCCTTTTGCTGTCCTCGTCTTTGCTCACCTTTTGCTTCTTCTTGCGAGCTCGGCACTGCTCAAACAAGGGACCCAGAGGTGCCAACTCTTTGACCTCCACCAAATCCCACGTAAAGCCAGCGTTCCATGACACGGAGCCTGCTGAGCCTTTTCATCTTCAGGAACTTCAGGGCTTCCGCCTGGGCTCTGCTGGACGCACGACGCATTAATTGACAGCTTTCCGTTGCAACCTACCGTCAGAAAGAAAGAGAGAGAGAGAGAGAGCCCTTCTTGTCCCCTGCCTCTGGGCACGCCGTTGCCGATGTCCCCAAGCTCCAGCGTGTGCCGCGTCCGAACCTTCCGTCGAACCACAACTCTTAAAGGCACTTCTGGCAGGGCAGCGTGTGAAGCCAAGGCTCTTACCTGCAATAAAGCTGAACTGGGAACTGCGCGCGGCTCACCTGTCCAAGATTGCGCAGAGCACGGTGAATACACGCAGCCACACATGCTCACGCATCCGCACACGAATGGCAAGAATCTCCTGTGTGCGTTCTGGACTCAGAGGAACCCATTCCCCACCAAGTTCGTATCCATTCTTCTGTGCTTCGCAAGCATGAGCGCATGCGGCACATGGTGAACTTGTGTGCAGCACTTCTCTTCGTGTTGGAGCTCAGAGGCCTCCGCAAGCTTTGACTGTCATAGCGCTTCGCATCACGTCGCATTGTCGGTGATCGGCGGTGACGGTTGCAGGCGGGGGCCCAACGTCGCTGGCTTGCGCGCACCAATCCCCAGGACTGCATACGAGAGCCATATGCAGCGGCCTCTCTACAAGCGCACGGAAACAGTCCAAGAACGCGTCAGCTGGAAGATTTCTCATATCCAAGCGCTCTTGGGCGCAGCCCCTCAAATAACCGGGAATGGTTTTGTTAGGTTGTGGGTGCCCATGATCTTTATTGAGCGAGTGAGTGTGGAGCGCTCTCCGGCTTCTCGGCTTGCAACCTTAGGGAGATCCGGGCTGTGCAATCCAAGCCGATATAGGCCGATCTTTTCTTTAGGAGCCTTCTCCTTCCTTGTGTCTCTCATTTCTTCTAGTTCTTTTCCAGGTCTTTACAACTTTGCTCTTGACACCCTGACCCCATTGCCTTGGAGCTGTTGAATATCGACATGTGTAGCCGACTTACAGGAAACTGAAGGCAGCATGCTCGCAGGAACAGCTGAATGATCATATGCCAGCCTGGCAGATGTGCATGGGACGATGATGCCCCGACAGTAAGGAATACGAATGCCTGGGTGTGTCAAGCATGGGTTTCAAAATGTTCCAGATCTGCACCAGAACATCTAAAAAAACAACACAACGAACAGCGGCGGCATGCCACACCCGATGTTCCTGAAGCTGGGGGGCAAGGAGGCTCTGCATGTCGGCACCTCAGGTTCAGCAACTCAAGAGCGTGAAAGTCATCTGTGTCAAACTATGCGAAATTATCGTCGGCATATCAAAATCTGACCCTGCAGCTCAATGTTTGCGACGTTCAGGGCTTTGAGTCAGCCACAAGAAGTTGCACCCACTTCCACGCACCCTAGCCGCCCCTAGAGCCTAATTGATGAGGGTTCCAAGGTCCAAACTTCCTGTAACACGGCAGGTTTGGCGAGGTGGTATTTCGAACTGCGGCAAGCGGAAGATAATTAAGAAATTCAGCATACCAGCTTATCCAATTTCCAATGCGAGGCCAAGCGGCAGAGCAACGGTCGCACTTTCAGAATGAGCGCTGGAGCCAACGCATAAAACTGTTTTGTAAGCATGTGCAAATGCTTTGCACATGTTTTCCGACAGAACATGCAAAGTCCAAGCCACAGTTGCAACCCAGCGCCCACCATCCAGGCAAGACACTCGAATTGTTTACGAAGCTGACTTTGGATTGAAGACAAAGAATTAACATTTTGAAATGCTGCACACGGAAACTCTGAAAACAATGGAAATCATAGAAATATGGAAGCCATATGAAGCCATGGAAAAAGCAGGAAACATGGAAACCCTGCAACTCCCGGAAACCATGTAGACAGTCACTGATCCGCATTTCAAATTGATCTCCATGTCCGCGTTCAAATGATTGCAATTCGCGTTCCAAATTGACCCCATTCCCTATCCTAAACGCAGCATGGTTGCATGCATATCAACAAATGCATGTCTTGCCAGGATGAAGGTTGTCCATGTGATCGCAAAGATGTATGGTGAAAATGGTGCCGGGGAGACAACTTAAATCGCTCAAGTAAAGCCAGCACAGATCTGCTGTCCTAGCGCAACACAGAAGCTGCAAGCGCGCCTTTTCCAACCAAATCTCTGACAGTGGCGAAATTCCCCATCTCTGTCTGGTGTCCCAGATGCACCTTCGGTGCTCCTGGTGGTCGTTTCGTATCAGAAATCACTCAAGTGCTACCACCAAGACTACTT